AATCAAAACCTCTTTATAAAAGGCCTGATTGATTGTTTGACCACTCGGTACAAATTTCTGATGAACAATACCCCAAACATCAAGTCTTAGAACTTTTTGATCAAACCACGTATATATGTCTATATATATCTACACATATATATGGTTATATATATCTACACGACTAATATCACACCACAAAGAAAAAATGCACCCGCACACCCATACAAAGACCTGCACCTGAACCTATTATAATATTCACATCGCGCGCAACACACACAAAACAAGCAAAGCCTAGTCCCTCAGACCAGGCAACACTTCCCTTCCATCCCCACCCCACTTGTGGGGTCACATACTCAGTTCAAATGTCCTCTCCATCATTGTCACTGCAGCTTTTGCTATCGCTGTCCTCGGTTTTGCTTGTCCCTTCCTCTTCTTCGCTGTCATCTCCCCCTTCTCTGGTCAGGGGATGTTGGATAATCCTGTGCCACATGTCTCTATGCCAGGTGGCTTTGGCCACGTCCTCTCCATCCACCACTACCAATTTCTGGTAGTAGGTCTGGAGTTCACTCAGAGCCATTTTCACACAGCCTACTACCTCTACATCCAATAGCTGGTACAACAGGAGGTTCCTGGCCTTCTACACGGCACTCCTGACACAGGACACAAACTGATCAAAACAGGGCAACGGGCTCCCCTGGTGTTTGGTGAGGTGCCCATATAGCACCACTTCTCTGGTTAGCTGGCTGATGCCGGTCACCACTTCACAGAGCTGCTTCACCCTTTTCCATACCTCTTTGGTGCAGGTGCAGAGCCAGAGGAGGTGGTCAATTATCTCAGTGGCTCCGTGGCAGTTGGGCCATGGGCAGCTGGGTCTCCCCCACTGCCTCTCTCTATGTCTCCAAGCCCTAACTGGTACAGCTTGGTGGGCTATGAGCCAGTTCAGGTCCTTGTGATCTTTGTGCAGATCCTTGTGGTCAATGCACTCCCACACCGCTTGGCACGGGTCACCCGGGAGCAGGTCCATGGGCGACATGGTGTCCCTCAGCTTCACCATCTCCTGGATCTTCTTGTGGTTTCTCATGGCCGCTGGGCCTGCGCTCTGCAGGCCATACAAACTGCAGCACTGGTTCAGGGTCTTGTAGAACCATGGTGAGCCCATGATCCACGGTCTATGGTTGGTCGGGGTGAATACCCCCACAGTATCTCAGGATGTGCCCTGCAAAATACCTCATGAGGCAAACAGTTTTGGATTCTGCATCCATCACCAGCTTGCAGATCAGGCTTGTATACTTGACCCACAACAACAGGAAGATGTCTGGCATTCCCCTGCCCCCAGACCTCTTCTCCTTGTGCAAGGTCTTCCGGGTGACACTTTGCCATCTGGAGCCCCAGAAGAAAATGCACATGGCCCTCTGGATCCTGTGGGTAACATGCTTAGAAGGGGGGAAGACCAGTGCATTGTACAGAAGCACTGGTAAAAATACTGCCTTCACAAGGACAACCCCCCCCCCCACCATGGAGAGGGAGCACATGTGCCACAGCCCCAGTTTCTGCTTTATCTTTGCCTCTGTCTTCTCCCATGCTGTCCTGCTGATCAGCTCAAGGTTGACATCTATCCCAAGGAGCCTGACCCCCTCATGGGGGACAGAGATCCCCAAGGACTCCAGGTCTCCAAGCTCACCCATGGCCAGGCAGGTGCTATGCCTCACATTGAGGTTGGCCTCTGCTGCCATCTTCTCTACCTGCATGTGCACCAGGGCTCTCTCTGCTAACCCCCTGTTCCACACAGGATATTCAAATTGTCCATGTAGGCCAGGACCTTGACTTCTCAGTTGCTGCTGCCAGGGATGCGGACTCCGAGTTCGACTTGAACAAGGGGGTGAAAAGCACCTTGTTCAGATTCATGGATGACACTAAAATGTGGGGAGAGGTGGGCACGACAGAAGGGAGGGACAGCCTACAACTAGATCTGGACAGGTTACAGGGGTGGGCAGATGAGAATAGGATGGGATTCAATATTGACAAGTGCAAGGTACTACACCTAGGGAGAAAGAACCAGCAGAATACCTATAGGCTGGGGATCTCCCTTCTCATCAGTACAGATGCAGAAAAGGATCTTGGAGTTATTATTGATTCCAAGATGAACATGGGCCGCCAATGTGAGGACACAGTCAGTAAGGCTAACTGCACCTTGTCATGCATCCACAGATGCATCACGAGCAGGTCCAAGGAGGTGATCCTCCCCCTCTATGTGACCTTGGTCAGGCTTCAGTTAAAGTACTGCATCCAGTTCTGGGAACCATACTTCAGGAGGGATGTGGACAGCATTGAGAGGGTCCAAAGGAGGGCCATTCGCATGGTCAGGAGGCAGCAGGGTAGGCCCCATGAGGAGAGTCTACGATACCTGAACCTGTTCAGCCTCCACAAGAGAAGGCTGAGAGGGGATCTGGTGGCCATCTATAAACATACCAGGGGGGACCAGCGGGGAACAGGAGAGTCCCTGTTCCCCCGAGCACCACCAGGAGTAACTAGGAATAATGGCCACAAGTTGATTGAGAGTAGGTTCAGGCTAGACATCAGGAAGCACTACTTCACAGGGTGGCTAGGATCTGGAACCAAGGGAAGTGGTGCTCGCTCCTACCCTGGGGGTCTTCAAAAGGAAGCTAGATAACCACCTAGCTGAGGTCATTTGGCCCCAGCATTCTTTCCTGCCTATGGCAGGGGTCAGACTTAATGATCTGCTTAGGTCCCTTCCGACCCTACCAACTATGAAACTATGAAGCTATGCTCAGCCTTCTCTCCCTCTCCAGCTGGAGCGCATCTCTCAGTTACACCAGGGCTTCATGGATCTGTCACCCCGGCACCCTGCATGACTGGTCCTCATGGATGACTGTACCTAGGATGGATTTAAATTGCTCGGCCAAGACTTTGGCCAGCAGCTTATAGTGGAAGATCAGGAGGGTGATTGGCCTTCAGTTCTTCAACTTTTCCCCCGGTCCCTTCTTGTACAGAAGGGTCAGAAGGCCCTGCTCCATCTCTGCTCTCAGTTGGCTTTTCTGCAGGTGCTCTCAAAAGAGCTCCAGGAGGTCTACATATGACATTAGTCCAAAGCCAAAAGGTTCATGATTTACAAATAGTTCATTAGGCTGGGCCCCAGCAGAGTCAACTGCATGTCAAGCTATGGTGACCTAATGGCTCAGCACTGCTCAGTATGTATGTATCCTGCAAATACCCCCCACAAAGGATCCATGTTCTAATTAGCCCTCCCTCATGATTGGAATCAGGTATTCTTATCATGAGTCCTGGGATCCTCCAAAGTTTAATATACAGGGCAACCTGGTCTGTCTTCACCTCGTGGAGGGCAGGGCCACACTAATCATAAGTGACAGGCTGGTAGAAGTGGCAACAAGGGGATTCTGGGTGAAATGTTTGGGTCCCAATTAGGTGATGTTAGCCAGACATTTAAGGCTAGTGAAGAAACAGGAATCACTGGAAATGGAAAAGAAAGGCACAGCTCAGCTGTGGGAGTGAAGAGGAATTTGAAATGTTTTCAATGTTGTGACTCACCATGACAGAGTAGGTGCTGAAGGGGATTGCACTCAATGGGTACTATTATATAGTTTATTTATATGGGTTACACTAATCTGTTCTTATGGTAAATTTCCATGCTGATGGATGTGGCAGCTGCAGTCATGTTGGGGAGGGCCCTTTGCAGGCCAGTAGTCCCCCTGCTAGTGTTCAGGTGAAGCAGCTGTCTCCCCTTCCTGCGTGATCCCTACAGTAAAAAAAACCAAAAAAGTAAGTTTCCATGCCCAATATGGAACATGCATTTTATAGACCTGCTCAGTGTTGGCCACAAAATTAATGAACTTCATAGTAGGTTTCCATTATTGAGCATATGCTGCTTTTAGCAGCAGTTCAAAGATAGACAGTGTATTTTAATGAGGTTTCCTTGTATGTATATGTAAGGTAGGGGTTTTCTTCCTCATGCTGAATGGGGAAAAAACCTGTCTTATATTTGAGTAAATACGGTATATCATTTATCTGGTAAATGTATGTGACTTTATTATCTGTATATAGATATTGGTCAAATATCTACTTTTATGCCTAATAGACGTAATCCAAAATTTACAAATATTCATTAAATATATATTAACTTTCCAAATAGCTGTGGCTGATTTTCTGAACTGTATGTTTTGTTTTATAAGGTGAGCTCTTGGGTTACATGGCTGATCCTGACTGCAGGTTCTATGGAGGAGAAACGAGAAGTCTTCTCATATTTAGTACATGTGGCACAATGCTGCTGGAACATGGGCAACTACAATGCTGTAATGGAGTTCTTGGCAGGGCTCAGGTACTGGTAACTTGGGTTTTTTTGTTTGTTCTTTTACATGAGAAAGTTTCAGAAAGAGAGAGATTAAAATGCAGCTTCTGTTAAGCACAGTTCTTTTTCTGAAGAACAGTTTATGGCATTGAATCAATCACAGTATTAAACAGAATGTTGTTGATAAGTCATGTCACTTCATCTAGTAAATTTCTGATAATTTATTCTGGAAAAATTAAAACAAAGTGAAAGATGGACATTTCTCAGAATTCTTTGGAGATGTATGATTTATCTTGGTACGTGCTAAATATGTTAAACTGAAAATATGACTGTACATTTTTCAAATAGCAGTTTCAAATGAGAAAAGACAACTAAAAAAACCAGTTCTATTTTGGCTCTATGGAACCAAAGAGAATAATTATAATTTCAGATTGGACCTTCTATAATACAGATGAAACACATATTAAACTAATAGTATGGTTATACCTTAAGTCAAAAAGAAATGTGAAATGAAACACTTCTGTATCCATTCCATTATACCTACACTGACAGCTCCTACTGACAGTGGGTGCATCTACATGTGCATTTACACCTACTTAAATTTACTGTGCAGTAAGTTACTGCTCAGTATGCAGAAATAGGCCTGTGTCTACACATGCAGGCATTAAAGTGCATTAGAGCTGTGTGTGGTTTGACTTGAGACTAAAGTTAGTCCCAAGTCAGTCCCCACACACAGTGCTACTGCATAGTACAGCATCTATATCTGTTACTGTGCAGTAACTAATTGGGTATAAATTTGATACCTGAAGGATACAGGTATCAAATTTACACTCAAGTCACCATAAGTCACCATATTTACTACGAAGTACGGGTGTGCACATGTAGACAGGTGCCCATACTGCGCAGTAATTTTGGTTACTGTGCAGTAAATGTGCACGTGTAGACACACCCACTATGCAGTGAATTTATCAGTACTAGGAGGGGTTAAAGCCAAAGTTCCAGTCTTTTAACTTTATATTTTGTGTTTGTATGTCAAAGTTTCAATGTGTTTTTACTGTAGTTATTTGTGATTTCCTAAGAATTTGTATTGTGCTATTAGTTTACATTTTTACTCACAAATACAAGGAGTCTTGTCCAGCAAAAAACATCCACAGTCTCCCAGGCCACATAAATTGTAGCAGAGGTGCAGAAGTGTAAAACATTTTAAGGACCTATAAGCTTCCCATGAGCTTCCTGTGCATAACTGAAGGAAGCAAAAGAAAGGTAATGGCAGACAAACAATGTTTCTAGAAAAAGTAGAGAGCATGGGGATAGAAACATAGTAATGTCATTAGTTTCCCTATAGAACAGCAGGAACACTGCAGCATTGCATTAGTACCTGCGAGCCAGAAAGGTTCATTGTCCAATCTGACAGAAATGCAGAATTAAATAATCAGTATTTATGATTAAAATAAAAACAGTTTTTAGAATTCTCTCATTTTTGCTCACTTGAAGGATTGTTCATAACACTGCAAAAGATACTTGTTATGTATCCTGGCATTGTCCCTTTAATCCTCTCTCTAATTTCCTTCCACTTCTATTTTAAGGCAGTGTCACAATAAAAATGTTTCTCTTTTCTTTTCCAACAGTACTCCCTAAGTCTCTCTTGAAAATTCCAGATGTAGCTCTAGCAATATTGAGATCCCACTAATTACTTTCCTCACTTGCTTTTATGTTCAGCACCGTAAAAGAAAAAATTGTCCTTTTGTAGAACTACCAAATATGATTTATTTAACTTATTTTTTAATCATGAATAATTTCCTTTATTTGGTAGATTTCAGGTGTTGAACTTTAATGTTAACTGTGTTTTTTATTTTCTTCTAAATAAATGTTTTGTCATACATTTGTAATAGGTCTAGAAAAGTTTTAAAAATGTGGCAGTTTATGGATCAGTCTGATATTGAAATCATGCGGAGTCTGAAAGATGCTATGGCACAACATGAATCATCTTCTGAATACAGGAAAGTGGTAAATCGGGCTCTGAATATTCCCGGCTGTAAAGTCGTTCCTTTCTGTGGTGTATTTTTAAAGGAGCTTTGTGAAGTTCTGGATGGAGCAGCAAGTCTCATCAGACTTTGTCCACAGTATAATTCCCAGGATGAAACATTAGAGGTAAAATGTTAAGGAGTAGTATTGATGTTCTATCATAGGTTCATGCTGGTATGCAGCAAATGAGGCTTCCTATCAAATTGTAGATGACTGTGAATGTATTGTATAATTCTAATTGCAGATAGAGTTCACAGACTCTTTTTCTCAGTGGAGTTGAAAAAATTTCCACTTAACTCAGTTAAAGTCATTTAGGATCTTAAAAGCACAATTTAGAACCCTAGTGGATGAGGCCCTTGAATATGAACATTCTATGCAGTCTTTTTGCTTTCTTTCAAATAAGACATTCCTCTTACATTAAGGCTGAGACTTTCAATGAATCTAAGGGATTGGTTATTATTATTTGTACTAGCAAATTGCCTGTCAAGAATGATGGGCAGGCAGGGACACAGGCCCACATTTGGTTCCCCCCACTTAGGGTCTGGGTCCAGGGCCAGGCCTGTTCCCCCCATCCTCCAGTTTAGGTCCAGGCCTACTTTGGGTTCAGACCCGTTCCTCCCTCCACCCCCACTGGTTTAGGTCCTCGCCCATTCCCCCTTCCCCCCCGCCAGTCCAGGTCTGAGCTTGTTCCCCCCACCTTCGACTCTGGGTCCATTCCCCCCTCCCCCACACTGTGCCATGCCTCTGATTGTCCCATGACCTGGCCCAGCCAGGGCCCCAGTCAACGTGAATGGGGCCTCATTTGGGCCAGGTTGTGGGGCAATCAGAGCCCAGCAGGGGTGTGGCACAGGGGGGAAGCCAAGGGAGGTCCATGGCCCCATGGTCTGTGCACAGGGCAAGGGCAGGCTGCAGCTGTGGGTTCCGCTCAATCTCTGCTATATGCCTTGCTGCTGCTGATTCGATAGCAGCACAGCACCATGTGCCTCACTGCCCAGCCTACCCAGTGGCAGGATTCACATGGCGCTGTGCCAGTGTCAAAGCAACAGCAGCGAGGCATAGAACAAAGGCTGAGCACAAGCTGCAGCTGCAGCTGCAGCTGCAGCTTGCCCTTGCCCTGTGCACAGACCGGGGGGTCATGCCCCTCCCTCCATTGTCATGTCTCCACGCCCCTGAAGGAACCACCAAGCTCCGATTGCCCCATGAACTGGCCTAGACAGAGCCCAGTCACCATGAATGGGGCCCCAGCTGGCCTGGGTTGTGGGGCAGTCAGAGCCCAATGGCTCTTTCAGGGCCATGGAGTGGGGATGCCAAAGGGGGGGGCATGTGCCCCACTCCTGCAGCTCTTCCCATGTCCAGCCCCATGTGCTCCCCCACCACCACCTCCTGCTGCTCCACCCTGCGCTGCCTCCCAGGAAGATGTGGGAAGCTTGCACATGGCAGCTGTAGCCTCCATTCCATGCCCCATGCAGTGCCCATTTGGTCTGGCTGCATGCAACCACCCCCCACACTTCCTCTCTCTGCTCCCCCTCCCTGGGCAGAGGCAGTTGGGGGTCAGGGAGCAGGGCAGGTGGTCAGGGCTGCGTCAGGGTGGGGCTGGGTGGGGGATTCTGCCCCTCCTCCTCCTCCCTGCTACCTCCAGCTCCCTGCTGTCTGTGGTCTGGTGGCATGCCGTGCCTCCTGACAACAGGTGGCAGGGAGCAGAAGGTGGCAGGGAAGGAAGTCCACGCAGTGTGGTGTGCTGTGCCACATGGCAGCATCCCACTGCAGGGAGCTCACTGTGCCCCACAGTAGGCAGTGCCCCGCAGCAGGGAGCACTCCATACTGTGTCCCCAATCACCTGGCCCCCGACTGCCTCTGCCTTCACCTCCTCCTGTCTGTCTGTAACGCTCTGGGTCAGCCATTCGCCATCTGCCATATGGGCAGCACATGCGCAGTTGGCCTAGAGTGTTATGGACAGACAGACCAGCAACGGTTTTATTAGAATTAACCATAGTGTCTGTGATTCCTAATCAGGGACCAGAATTAAGTGTCCTATTCCCATTGAAATTGGGAGATATGTGCTCCGTACTGGTAGGTTCCTTTGAAAAATCTCTAAACCTCTAATTCTCTAGGTTACTTAATACAAATTTCTCACTGTTACTATATTAACTCTTTTGGAAATTTTAGTTTGTTTCAGATTACAATGGGCAAGATAATTTCTTGCAAAGAATAGGCCAAGATGGTTTGAATAATCCAGAAAAAGAATCAACAGCAAATAGTATCTTTCAAACTATTCGGAGTTGTAATCGCAGTTTGGAGTCTGAAGAAGGAGAAGACAATTTTAGTGAAGGGAGCAACTCGAGAAAAAACTCTTTGAAGGACAAAACCCGATACCAGTGAGTTTAATATTTTACAGATTGTTGAGCTTTCTGTGTGCATTTAATCTTTTTTTTTCATATATAGTTGGTGCTCATTGAGACACATTTATGGTAACATGTAATTTATGTGTCCTTGCATTTGGCCCCTACCAATTTCAGACTTTTCCCCATTTATGCTTGGTAGTATGACACTTGAGATTTCTCATTCAGTTTTATTTTCCTCATGACATAATTTCTTCCGGGCAAATGTCTTTCATCTTGCATATAGAGCTTTAAAAACCCACTGTTACAATGTGATTCTGATCTGTGGTCCTAGGAATAGCACCAGGCATCTCTATTATCAGAGCTTAGAACATTATATCCAGTGTGTTGGAACAGCATTCTACCCCAGATTATTGTACATAAGCCCACTACTTTTTAAGGACATGTTCATTTGAGGCTCATAAATTATCTCAGGAAGAATTCTTAGAAGTCATTAAACAGTTTGAATTTTCACACAGGATCAATTTAGTTATTTAGCACAGGTGTTTCTTTAATTATGACACGTGGGAAATATCAGTATTCAGTGACCTGGTTCCTACTTCTACTTGTGCAATGAGGGATCCAATAATAGACCAGTGTCATACTAGTTTATAGTACATTATCAACAAGCTAGTGAACATAATGGAAAGCCTGCCAAGCCTTTTGGTCTTTCAGAATGTTGCTTTGTTTTTCTAGTTTTTTTGGGGTATGTCTTCACTTTGTCAAGGTGTGACCACAACTTAGGTAAACATACCTGAGCTAGCTTGGATACAGAAAACAGTGTACCAGCAGCAGGATAAAACGCAGCACAAGCTACCAAATCCACCCAGGAAGCTAGGTGAATATTCAGACAGTGAGGTCATGCTGACTCCATCCTACTGCAGCTACACTGCTGGCAGTACTCAACAGAATTAGTTTATAGAAACACGGGCATGTGTCTGTGAGGTGCAGAGTAGACACCTCCTTTGTTGCTGAACTTGTAAAGAGAAGTGTTTTAAATCAGGATCAAAAGAATTTCATAGAAGTATCTTCCAATTGGAGAGAAGTCTTCTACACAATGACCAAGTGGATTTCTGGGTAGCTACAGTTAATAAAGTACATAAACTGATGAAGAATGCATCTGGACATAGTAAGATGATGTTTCTCTGTCCATCAAACATTTACCTCCCAAATGAGTGTGGATCAATTATAAAGAAAGGAACTTTGGATTTTATTAAATGCTTTAGAGCAGTTTACACTAAAAATGAGTACACTAGGTGATGATTAAAAGAGAGTGTGCTTCTGCTGCAGTGCTAGAGTCACACCAGTAGTCTCACTTGCATGATAGGTAAACAGAACTACACAGAAGTTTAGAGGTATTCAAACTGATTCAGCTGTCTATATGTAAAATCCAGTAAGTGAGCATCAGGGAAGGAACGAACATCTTCCTGTTTTAAATGTGCTTATTACATTTACATGCAGTTATAAATTTAATTTAAAATAATCTTTGTTTCCTGAAAGCATGGTTTCTAATAGAATTATTAACATCTGGCATTGATTCCAGTGGAGAAGCATCTGATGCCGGAAAACGCTGTCCCACTTCACTGTCCGCTTGCATCGTTTCTTAACAGCAGAAGAGTGCTGTAATAATCTGCATAAATTCTTACATATGAAGTGCTTTCTTTCAAAAATAATTTTTCCTAGCTCATATCTAATATTTTAAAACTAGAGTTTAAATTGCAGCTCAAATTGAAAAGTAACATAGAAAGCAAACATTTTTGTTTGTAGAAAACAACCTGGAACTCTAATATATATTTTTTGGCTTCATACATATATACACAGACAATTGAAGGGATTAAATTAACAAAACTGCAAATAATTACATTAGCTATATGGAGCTAATACATGAGCTAATAATGTGTGAGCCATACATTAACTCTTACATAAACTAAAGTCAGTATTGAGTTAGATGGGACAACTTGCAGAAGAATGCCTCTGAATTATCTTTTGTTCTGAAGCACATTAATTATTTTGAGGTCTCATAATCCATAGATTTCATAGATTTCATAGACATTCGGGCTCGAAGGGACCCCAGAGGATCATTGAGTCCGGTCCCCTGCCCCATGGGCAGGAAGTCAGCTGGGATCATAGGATCCCAGCAAGATAAGCATCCAAATGTGTCTTGAAGGCATTCAAAGTGGGTGCTTGAACTGCCTCTGGCAGTAGCCTATTCCAAACCTTGGGGGTTCGGATAGTAAAGAAGTTCTTCCTTATGTCCAGCCTGAATCAGTTGCAGCAGAGTTTGTGACAGTTTGATCTTGTCATCCCTTGGGGTGCTCTGGTGAACAGACATTCCTCCAGATCCTGATGAGCACCCCTGATAAACTTATAGGTGGCCACCAGACCACCCCTGAGCCTGCACTTTTCTAGGCTGAAGAGTCCCAGGGCTCTCAGCCTCTCATCATAAGGTCTGTTTTCCTGACCTCTGATCATGCGCATAGCTCTTCTCTGCACTATCTCAAGTTTCTCCACATCTTTTTTGAATTGTGGAACCCAAAACTGGACACAGTACTCCAGCTGCGGCCTCACCAAGGCCGAGTACAACAGTAGAATGCCTCCTGGGATTTGCTTGAGAAGCATCTATGGATGCAAGCCAGCATTTTGC